CATGAGAGGCATGGTGGCATTTCCCTTGCTCACTTTCTGTCTGGGATCACGTGCTCTGTGGTAAGCCAAACTCTACATAATTCGTCCCCTAAAAGGTCTGTATGGCAAGGCAGCAATGCCTCCTGACCGTAGCCTGCTTGGGTCATTCTGACTGAAATTATGTCAGACCCCTGAGGCAGAGCTGCCCATGGTAGCTTGGCTATCCCATGGTTTCTGACCTACAGAAATGGTGGCAGAGTAGGTGTTTCTTATTTTAACCCATTTACGTTGGGGAGATTTTATGATGGGAGAACTAAGTCAACAGCAAGAAAGCTATAAAGATCAATAGTGTCGCTCATATTTTCTCTCCTGCTGTAAGCGAAATCTCACTTAGCCATCTCCTTTGCTATGCAGAAATATCTAAATTTCAGGAATTCCCATTTTCCAGTGGCTCACATTCTCTCCTGAGCAGCTAGAGTCATGTTCAAAAAGACTTTGCCTGTGCCTGTTCCCTGAAGTGCTTCCCCTACTTTTCTCTATAACAGTTTCCAAGCTTCAGGTCTCACAACAAAGGTCTTCCTTTAATGCATTTGGAGGTGAATTTTAATACAGAGTGTAAGATAGAGATCCAGTTTTGTTCTTCTGTTTGTGGACATCTAGTTTTCCTAGCACTTTTTTTTTTAAGATAAAAAAGAATGAATAGAAAGAAACAAAACTCGGGGGCCTTTTATTTCTCTATTCTAGCATCCATTGGTAATCAATTTAAATGAATTGTGACTATGCCCATATATACCCAGTTGGCCTTTGAGCACTGGAAAATTGACAATGTGTTTGTTCCTGGTTCTGAGCTGTATCTTGTCCTGGATCTCACTTGTATAGATGGTGCTTGTTTCATGGATGAATATGAAAACAAGTCAGGACACTGTGATCTTTCCTTTTGGAAAGTGTTTGTAATAAAATAGAAAAAAAAGAAGAAGAGAAGCATATAGGAACCATTGGCTGACACACACCTCCCAGCATGAGTTCTATGGCTTGCAAATAATTTCCAGTGTGAGGAGGCTGTCTAGCAATGGATGGAGAACTGGCTAAGAGATAGCCCATGGGGGAAGATTAAACCCAGCAACATTGTCTTGCCATTTCAATTGTATTGGTACCAACCACTTATGATGGATTAGGCCCCAATATCAGGCTGTTTAAAAAGAATCATTCTGTGAAACAGAGGGGAAATATACCCTAGGTATAATTGCTTTCTGTTCAGAAGCGCACCTCTGTTGTACACGGGCTTTTCTTTTCCTTGGCCGGCAGAGCAGAAATCATGTTCTCAATAGAATGATTTTGAAAACTGTGGTCTCCAACAGCAATCGCCTCCTTTCTGCTGCCAAGCTTCTTGAGAGAGTCAGCAATTAGGCTGTTCTCCAGGCTTCATTCGCATGGATGCTGTTAACCCTTCAGCAGCCATGTCCAAAGGCAGAGCAGCTCCTGACGGTGTTCTTGGAGGTGACCTTTAACCCTGCCATGTCAAATCTCATCACTCTTGCAGAGTTCTTCCTTAACAGTGATTTCTTCTTCTTCCCTTGAAACTTTGCTCCTCGGCTCCCTTTGTGTGTTGGCAGCTTTCCTCTAACATAACTCTGTGTTTCATTTTCTCATCTCTGAGTAATCTTCCTTAAGAGCCTCTTCTTGTTCATTTTATTATTACCATGGATGGCAATTGTCCTCTTGTTAGTAGTGTTTATGCTACATTGTTCTGGCAATTATGACCATCTCTGTGAGACAACTTTCACAAAAACAGTCTGAGCTAGATTCAAGTTTTCCCTTTTTATGTCAATGTATATTTTAACTCAACATTTCATTAGAAAAATATTAGCCACTGGGTCAAAATAAACACAAAATTGAGTGCTGTAGCATGATGCAAAGTTATTGTTACTTGTGTTTCTAAGGTGATTAAGAGACTCGGGTTTTTTAATTGAGGAAGCTCCCCCGCTCAGTTGGGACTGTTGCCACATGGGGTAGAAAGCAGTGAGGAAATCTAGTTGTTACTCCTGGAAGCAAGCACCAAGCTCCATCTGACTGAGTTTCAGATGTCCCCTGCCTCTGTTGGAGCAGCCTTAAAATGTCAGCAGCTTGCAATAGCAAAGCTTTTGTTTTCACTTGCTCTCGATGGCCTGTGAGCTGCCTGTGCCTGCTCCATGCCATCTGTGTCCTAAGGCCCAGGCTCACAAATAGCCTCTTTGAGTCATGGCTCGTGTTGTGGCCTCTCAAAGCAGTTTGGTGAATGCAATGTCCTCACCTTTCTCTTTGTTTTAAGTAAGTGACATAGAGAAGCTTAGCATCAGTAGGATGGATGATAGTTTTCTTTCCACACTGAGGGAAGAAAGATCCAGGTATGATCCGTGGCAAGCCTGACAGAAATAGCACAGGGATGTGTAATTGTCATACAGAAATGAGGAGTGACTATTTTGAATAACTCAACCAAGCATGCCATTTTGTTTCAGATATTAACATTTCAAAATGGGATATTTTATAAAATTGCTGACAAATTATATAAGCTTGTTGGACTTTTTTTTAGAAATGTAAAAATATAGGTCATCAATGGCATGTTAAATTTAATGAAACTTGGTAAGTTTCAAATCAAAATGGATTTTCCTCTCATTGCCAGATGCATGGACAGTTAGTTTCATATTGAATGGCAATACACACTTACAGAGCAAGGGAATTTAAAGCCTGTGGGTTTCAGATTTGCTAGTGCTGACTTAAGCCTCTCTTGGCTTACTTATTTTGATGATGGCACTCAAAGCCAGCTATAAACTCATTTGAAAAAAGCTGAGTGAGAGAAATGCATGAAACTGAAAAAAGAAGAATGATCAATGAAATAGAATAAAACGTTGGGAATAAGCTATGCCTAAGTATGGTGCCACAAGTCAGTAGATGGCTGTGGCATTATATGCAGATATATGTATACAAGGCGTATATATAGATGATACAGATACATATATAGAGATCATACAGATGTAGAGACAGATATAAATTACATAGAGATGATATAGACAGGTAGCTATAGATACAGATATAGATATAGGGTTGTATGATGGTTAAGTTACTATCCAAGCTCCTCTTATGTCTTGTGATGATGAGAATCCAGATGGATTACAGATCCAAACAGAAAAGACAAAAAAATGCACATGATCGAGGAATGTAAAACTAAAGTCTTCAAAGCATAGCACACATCTGCTGGAACAGTCACATTTTAAACGCCCGGTGTTCACTTGAGCTTACCTCTACCATTTAAACGCCTCTGCTTAACTTAGCCATCTCATCTGTCAAAGGAGAATCCTGATAATGTTGCCAGAGTTAGTGGTTGTGATGATGAAAGCATGCACACACACACACACACACCACACACACAGTGCCTAATACATGTTATTGTATCCAGGATCATGCAACAACGAAACAATTACAGATATGACTATGAATTTGTGAATAAAAATCATCTGTGTGTTAAGTTAGATTCTGAGCAGTCACCCATTGATCATGGTTTACTGTTTTGTATATGTAAATATATGTTATATAAAAAGATATCTAAGCAGGATCTATGTCTGCTAGCTATTGAAGACATTTTATGTGTCCTTAAGGTAGAACGTTCCTACTTCCTTTCAACTTTAGAAAGAACAGTGATGTGCTCCTGCTCTGATGCTTATTCTATGTAGCTCTTTTATCTTTATATTGGCCCCTTCTTTAAAGGATAATAATTATGCAAAAATACAAACACAGAGAGAACCCAAAATCAAGTTCTTTCAAAACAGCATAGCTGGTGGCCTTCTTTCGTTTGTCCTCACAACTGTGTTTCTTACTCAGGATGTATACTAGCCTCGAATCCATTTTGCTGACCGATCTCCTCCTACTCAAGCTACAGATTATCTGGCTTTAGCCTTTCCCAGACTCTTCTTGTTAAATTGCCTTCTCTTTAATTCTCCAGCTTCATAGTTATTTCCTTTATAAGCTTATATCATAACTGCTAATGGTTCCCCTTCTGTGCTGCTTCAAGTTTTTTCAGTTTGATTTCTATTACTGTGATAAAGACTGTGACCAAAAGCAACTTGGGATGGATGGAGTTTATTTAATATACAGGTTTTAGTCCCATCATCAAAGAAAGCCAAGGCAAGAGCTTGAAGTAGCCGCCATGGAAAATACTGCCTAGCGGCTTGGTGTTTCAGGCTTGCTCAGCCCACTTTCTCAGCTCACCCCTCCTATTACATCAGTTAACAACCAAGAAAATGCCACCCCATGTCCCCAGAGGCCAAGCTGATCGAGGTAATACCTCAACTGAGGTTTTCTCTCTGCCTAAGTGACTGTGGGTTGTGTCAAGTTGACAGCTGGAAATAACTATGACATCAAGACAGGGCCTGAATCTGTCCTTACCACAGCAACCAGTGGCACTCAGAACAGACATCAATCCTTGTATAATTGAACAAATAAATGAACATGAATGGGTATTAAGATACTTTCAAAGAAATAGTCACAAAATGATTTTATACCAACATATCCACATCAAGTAGATACGAAAGTTGTAGGTATTTTGTTTGTTTGTTTTTTGAGACAGGATTTCCCTGTGTAGCCTTGGCTGTCCTGGATTCACTTTGTAGAACATGCTGGCTTCGAACTCACAGAGATCTGCCTGCCTTTGCCTCCCAGAGTGCTGGGATTACAGGCATGAGCCACCATGCTGGGCTGTTGTAAATATTTTTATAACATCCTGTTGTTTATTAATTTATAAAGACAAAGACTACATTGTCTCCCAACTAAGTGTCTGTTAAGTATTAAGCTTTTATTTAGGTGATTTTTGACTGACTGGCTAAATTAATTCTAATGTGATGTCATAGGCTAAGTGTCTACTCTACAAGAATTTTCCCTCAAATAAAATTAAGGCGTAGATAGAAATAATAATTAGGGGTGCTTTAAAACCAGGACGTTACAAGAGTGTTGTAATGTATACATATTTTCTGTTATATTTTTCTTACAAGGGTCCTGTTGGTTTGCCTGGAGAAGTAGGGGTAACTGGAAGCATTGGTGAAAAGGTAATTTATTTTGTTTTATGTTAAGAAGTCCAGACTAATTTCATCTTCCATGTGGTATTTTATGTTGATTGATTAAAAGGCATTCATCATCCTGATAGGGGACTAGAGGATGGAGGATTAGAGACTCTAATCACTGTTCTGTGTGTCCCCACATCCTCACAAAACATCAGAGTACAAGAGACACTTGGTGAGAACAAAGCTGCTGCTTGGGCATTTCCCCACACTGGATTGCACAAATGAGTGCCTTTGGCACAAGGGACTATCCAATCAGGTGGCCCACAGGCTCAAATGACATCTACAAGTTAAGGTGGTTCTCACTTTCATGAACTGATAAACCTGTATCCTGGCGATAATTCAACCCAACAGTGGTCACAGTAGCCATCAAGCCTAGTGAAAAAGCCCTCTGGGGCTCAGCCTGCAAATAGCCTTCCCTGGTCTAATCTGGTCAAGTTATAGATAGAACACTACTCAGTACCTTCCTGTTTCCAATACCAACGAAACCACAAAATGATGAGTGTAGGAAAGAACAGACATCTTCATCCTCTGCCTCCTCAGCAAGGAGAAGGCACTGGCTGGTCTTGCTTTCTTTCTGAATATTTGTTTTTGTCCTGTATTTCTTTTATTGTGCTTACTCTTGCTACTTTTTCTTCTGCTGTCAACATATTTTCCTCTCTTTCCGATGTTGCTTACATTCTTTGTTTTTTCCACACACTTCCCACCTTCATTGTATTAGTTAATAATCAATACTTTTAGCTTGAATAGCTTTTCAATTCTTATCTTATTCTGTAAGTATTTTAGCTCATTTCTTTTTTTCTTCTTAAGGAAATATAATTGACATCTCTAGTTGGGTTTTTTTATGTATTTAAATATCTCATTTGATTTTGAATTGTTCTATCATGGTCTGCTTCCTTCCTCTGAGTAATGATGGAGATCGAGAGCTCAAGATAAAATCACCCACTAAGAACACTTTCACATAAAACCAGAAGGGATATCCCAACAAATGCAAAAATATTTACATAGAAACACAAGAAAAATAGAAAGGAAAGGCAATGCGACTCCCACAAAAGTTATCAAGTCCTCAATAACCGAGTCCAAAAATAATGAAGTGGTTGAAATGCTAAGCAAAGTGTTCAAAGTTTACTTTTAAAAAATGACCAATGACCTCAAAGAGGAGTCAAACAAACAAACAAATGGGTAAGAAAGTCAACTCAAGATTTAGAGATGAAATTTAGTAAGAAAAATGACAAATTTAGTAAACAAATAGATTCTGGGGAAAAACATGGGAATTTTGGATATGTACGGTACCATAAATCAAAATTCTAAACTATGGAAAACAGCACTATTAAATGGAGCATAAGGAAGATTTTCACAGATTGAAGATATGACTAAGGAATGGTGACATTAAGACAGAAAAATAAAAAATTAAAAGAAAAAAAAGCAGTCATGATCATGACTTTCAAGAACTTTGGGATGTGGTCATGAGATGAAAACGAAGAATATCTCAAAGTAGAAAACAATCTGAACTGTGAACTAAAGATACAAGAAATCTTGATGAAGTTGTGCATGAAAATATAACAAATGTAGGGAAAGATGTGTGCATCCAAGAGACATTGAGAACCTCAAGTAGACAAAAAAATGAAATTATATTATTTGCAGGTAATGTCTGGAAACGGAGATCATCATGTTAAGGGAAATAAGCCAGGTTGAAAGGATAAACCATTGCATGGCTTCTCTCAAGTGTAGAATTTAGTAAAATGGATACCACTAGGGTTATAGAAGGAAAAGGGAGCAGAAACACGAGCAATGATAAGAGAATGCATGCATATGGTCAAGGTATGCTTTAGAAATATAACGATGAAAATTATTACTTTGTGCAATTAATATATGCTGACAAAAGGAAAATTTATTAAAAAATATAACATATTACTCTACTGAATCTCTTAAATATGTTGAAATATGACCAATTATGTGTTTGCTTCTAATTTTTAAAGCATAAGAAAACTTCTGGTTATAAAGATGTAATCTAAAACACAAATGTAAAATAAACAGTGTAGAAGCATGAAGAGAAAAATTACTATGTAATTCTACCTTTAAGCCTCTATTAGAAACAATTTTGAATCAGAAAAATAAGCTTCCAGTTTATTCTTCTCTTTCCTCCAAGTCATTTACTAAACACCTGTCCTGTGTTCCATCTCACAGCTTTCCTCGTCCAGAATATTCTCCTCCATCCCAGGCTTTTATTCAAATTGATGGAGTCTATTAATTTCCTCCCTCTAGGAAATCTCCCCATATGTCTCTAAGTCTTCCTGATTTCCTCCCTCCCTAGAATGAGAATAAGTTCTACAGAGTTTACAATTCAGTTTTCCCCTAATTATTTCATCTCTACTAGTAGCCAATCTGTAGTTACTTTAAAGTGGAATATAAGTTTAACTTTATAAATACTCTCTTTTGTCACATGAAGCAAGTTCTTAATGTATAATTGCTGATTTTTAACATAATAAGAAACAGAAAGCATTCAACTAAAAATCAGATGTTTGTCCTTTTTTATTCTTATTTTGTTATTATTCAATGAGCTAAGACTTTGACAATGTTAGAAACTTTATGTAAATGTTACTCTTAGCTTTCCACTGAAGACTTGATTCCCACTACCCTCCAGAATGAGATCTGCAACTCTTCACTGATACCAAGAAAGTAATTTCTTCAATTGTTCTAGATATTAGTTCATTTTTCATTTATAAAACTTTAGCAGGGTTTTTAGAAGAGCTTGTTTATCCATAATTTCTATCTTCATTTTAATAAGACTGCAAACAAGAGAACTGTATTATATTAGGAGATTTGCAGCCATAGGGTTGAAATGCAAACTGTAAGTTTCAAAGGTATTGAAAATAAAGATAATCTGTGCATACAAATTCTGATTCTGATGGTTTCTTTTTCTCTAGCCTTGGCTCAATCATCCTTAACATGAATCAATGTTATCTTTTTCTTCTTTCTTTTTTTTAAAAGGGAGAGCGTGGAAGTCCAGGCCCACTTGGTCCCCAGGGGGAAAAAGGTGTCATGGTAAGAGTTCCAGGATCTGTAAACTCTGTTTCCAATACCTCTAATAACAAAGTTAAGGTTTTTGTGGGTAGACCCGCCTTGACTGGAATTTAAGTGAAAATGATACATTATAATAAATTTCCATTGAACTATTTTTTTAGCTGTTTTATATCCTAGAATGATGTTCTATGGTACCAAGTCCGTGAAAAACCATAAAAATAAGCTGCCTTAGTAAAAAAAAAAAAAAAAAAAAAAAAAAAAGTATATATTCTATAGCTCTGGAAGAAGAATTATTAAATGACTATAAGCACATTGGGTTAAAAAATCCAATTAAAATTCTGCATGCTCTTGTGCAAATAAAGTTAATATTACACATATCCACAACCACTTTTCCACCAGTTTTGGCCATGAGGTAAGTCTTTTGGCACATAAGAGTTTAAGGACCAAAATTTTGCCTTATTCTCTTATGTCTTCAAGATGACAACTGATAAATTTGACATCTGGGTTGTGTTTTTAGTTTATTAAATAGCTAGTGAGTATTAAAGGAAATTAAAAGGAGGTTTTTTATCAGTTTTAGAACTCCCTTTTTTAGCAAGTAAAATAATGGTGGCACGTAGCACTGTCTACAAATTCTTTCCACCTTTTGTTCTTTATGTTTAATCTCTGTATCATCGGAAGATCGCCACAGATTATTTTTAACAACTTCTGCTGGGGACAGGTATTGAACCTAACTTACTCATAAACCAATTGAATTCAAGAACTTTTCCTTCCTAAGACATCTTCAGATTTAGGGCTAGCACCATAATTCATGTGTCCTTTCTAAAAGATAATGGACTAAACGCATGTGCCACCCTTAAATGTGGAATTCCCTGACCTCTTAGAAAAGGTTGTAATTCATGCTATGCATCACGGAGCATAGTCCCCAAGTAAGCTCTCAGCTCCTACAGAAAGAGGAAATTAAGATGATCCTGGCATATTGTAACACACGGTGTCACCTAGTGACTTTCTTTTCCAAACAAGGACCTAACAAACGATGTGCAGCTTCTCTGGAAACACATCTTTAATTTCTATGATCCTACTGTTGAACATTGCCTGTGCCTTCATGTATCTTGGGTTGGAAAGGGCAATCTTATCAAACTGCTGTTTTTGTTACTGTTTTTATGTCCTTAAAAGAAAATGATTAATTTTATATTTTTCATATTTAATTTAAATAATAGGGCTACCCAGGTCCTCCTGGGGCTCCAGGACCACTGGGCCCAGTGGGCTTACCTGTAAGTATAGAACAGATTACTTTGTCCTTTGTTGAATGTCCACTTTAACTTCAGTCCACCGCTTTGTTGTGCTGTCTTTATGAGTCTCATGTAAAACCACTCATGTGTAAGGTAATGGAGAGTACTTCTTTCCCCAACTGTATGAATGTTCTGAAATCTTTCTTGGTATCTTCAGTTTCTTTACCCCTACTGTGTATAATCACCAACTTCAGTTCTCTAGCCTAAACTGAAAAGAAAAAAATAATAACTTGTCTTTTGTAAGAAAACAAATCAGTAACCAAAATACAGCTGAGAACAAAGGAATTAACAAAACATACGCAGACATTTTAACATTTTTTTCTTAAAATTTGGAAATATTCTCATACAAATAGTTAAAATTCATAGGAAATGTACCTTTGGTAAGTAAAACTTGAGCTTTGATTACATCCTATCTGTTGTTTTCAGAAAGATAATTAAATCTTGCTCCTAAAGAGAGAAGATCCACTTGTCAAAGTTTGACAGTTATTGTGAACATGAATCTGAGGAAGGTCAGCCTCTGTGCTGGCTGGGCAGAGCTTCTTGTTACAGTAATAATTTCTACAATGTCTCATGATGCTTCCATTCTATAAAATAAGCTGATATTCCAGTATGTTCATAGATGTTGTTGACTTCTAAAATGAAAAGAATACAGCATGGTTGTCAACTTCCTCACTCACATAAAAGATTGAGTCAACTTGAGACCCTAAAATTTGGTCCATTTCTCTCTACCTAAAGTTCATAACTAAACAGAAGACAAGGGTTGTTAAAGGAAAATCTCAGTGCCAGGATCAGAATACCTCTCCATGATTGTTTGATCAGAGAGGCCCCAAAGGCACCCAGACAACACAGGGTTATTGCCATTGTTCTTGTGACTCACTGTAACAAAAAAGGAAGGCCCGACAGCTGAAGACACCACGCGCTGTGGCTGTGAGACACAGAACACTCAGTCTCATTGACCAGGAAAGTCCCTGCTGGCTAGCTTTCATAGAATTGGAAAGTGCTATGTGGGTTGCTGATGGAGAAAGGAATCAAAGCTCCTATCCAGGGCTAGGCTCTGCATGCTACATTGCCAACCTACATGCAAACTGTACCCACTGATGCAACAGCAGTGGTTACAGGGGAACCACCTGCCTTCTGGATGCATTTGAGGACTGCTGTCAGGACAGATTTCATGTCTGGTGTTATAAACCTGGTCAAGAACCCAAAGCTGTGAAGATCCCATGCCCTAGTAAGGAACTTGCTCTTGTTGTTTAGCTAAATGATCATATTGTCAAGAACTGACTTCTATGAGTTTATTTATATTTGTAGCCATAACTTTGTGCTATATTCTAGTAACTATTTATAGGAGATTTTAATCATTAATGTATCATTAAACTTGACTTTAAAACAGTAACTTAATTTCCATTGTTGACTGCTTTTGATACATTACTTTATAATCACTTATGGCATTTTCATAGGCTCATAAAATATACAAATTTTATAGATGGTGTTATAATATGTATCTTTTAGCAGAGACATTGTAACAGTAATAGTCCTTGCCTCTTGGATGGACCAAGCATATTAGACTAGTGTATCTCTGCTTCCTTCACTGCTCATGTGCCTTTCTCCTGAACACTGTTTTTCCAGTGAACAGTAATCCCTTCCAGTTCATTTCACCCAGAAATAACATTTGTCCAAAGGATGAAACATTTTGAAATCAGAACATTGGGGATGAACATACAGTGTTGATTAATTAGAATTTATTTGTAAGGAGATTAATAAATTTATTTTTTTAACCCATCATTAAAATACACATCATGCAAGAAAAGTATAGCTACTCTTCTGGTAACAATGCTGTGAATTTATATCTGAGTTTTTAATTTCTAACATGCAGGGTCTTGTTGGGGCAAGAGGTGCACCTGGGAGTCCGGGCCCTAAAGGACAAAGAGTAAGTAACATAAAAGCTTGCTGACCTCAAGAGAATAACCTCATATTGATTGATGTGCTTGACAAATCCAGCACGACACCTTCCAGAATCATGCTTACATCTTGTCGGGGTTTTGCTGTTTTTATTCTATTAGATGAATTGCATATAACCAATAATTTGTACTTATAAAATTCTCAGTCTCTCCTGCCATCCTTTAGGGGCATTATAAATGAGAAGATCTTTAAATAAATAAATACATTTCTATTCACAACATATTTATATATTACAAAAAATAATAGCAAAATCAAATGATAAGAAATAGAATAAAGATACATGGGATGAATTAGTGTTTCCCAGTTGCAGATCAAGTGTATTTTTATCATTATGGTCTAATAACTATATGCAGAACTATGTATAAAGAATATTTACCTCCCAAATTGTCTCTTAAACATTTTTATATGTTTATATAAAAAGAGCCGCCACTTACATGCCTGTCCCATATACTTCCTGTGTACTATCTTATGTAATACTCAAAGCCACTGTAAGAAGATGTGGCATTATATGACAGATACCATAACCAAGAAAAGCAGGGCTTAAGGAATATGATCTGCAGAGACAAAAAAAAAAAAAAAAATTCTCAGCCATATTGAAGCCTTACTAAATCTTCCTCCAAAGCCAATGTTTATTTGAGGCCACATGGAATACCGAGGAATACTTTTCCTCCTCTGAAAATGTGACTTTAAGAGCTGTATTTCATGCGTTGCCCTTCACTTGGCTTAAACTTTAGAGCTAGTGAAGAGGTTTTTTGTTTTGTTTTGTTTTGTTTTGTTTTTTGTTTTTTTTTAAATTCTAAAGACATGATCTCTAACTAACAAACATCTTTAAAATTAAAGAACAGTGAAGATGAAAGGCACTGCAGTTTCCTAGCTGTAAAACTGAGGAGTGTTGTGAACTCCCAGTCTGAGAACAGCTTGTAGTTTATGTCTTGTGTGAGGACTGAGGAGAGAGATTTGTCTTTTTATTATTAACTTTATGAAAACCTATCTTCCTTCCCAGTGTTTAGATTTACTGTCTACAGACATCAGCAATAGCTGATCCATTTTAGCTTGAGTAAATTGAAGAGAGACATGATTTGTACTCCAACTATCCTTTGTTGCTTACACCTTGCCAGAACTCAGTTCTTGGTGAGGTCAACTGTGTTTATTCAGCCTAGCATGAGTCAAAGGGGGGTGGGGAGAGCTCAAACAGCTCGCGGCAGGTGAATAAAAATTTTAAAATAAAAATAAATTTAAAAAATACTTAGCCGAACCTTCTGTCAGTGAGTGATTTAGGCCTCACTGACGCTCTGGCAAGTCCACGTCCCTAACCGTGGTACATGCTGAACCACCTGAATGCTCTCATAAATCCTTTTGCAAGTTCATTTGTTCTGCAGTGTTCTAACTTCACTGCGACCACGTGTAGCTTCCTGCTTCCCTGACCTGTCACTTTGTCCTCAGCTATCACTTCTTCAACCTTTTTTATTATTTTCCAGATACAATTTCCTGATGTTCTCCAAATGGCTCCATGCAATTTTAAACTATGTCACTCAGTAAATTTTACAAAAGGAAACTGTGTAGCTTGGAAGAGCGTGTCTTTCTTCACTAGGAGAATATTATAGGCAGCTAGTAATTGTTACACACATATATATATGTGTATATGTATGTATATCTGAATTGGCATGGAGAGATGGCTCATTGGTTAAGAGCACTTGCTTCTCAGTCATGAGAACCAAAGTTGTGTTGTCAGCACAACCCTTGACAGCACCTGCCTCAAGCAGCTCACAACTGCCTGCAACTCTAGCTCCAGGAGATCCAAGGTCCTCTTCTGGCCTCCAAGGCAATGGACAGACACACACACACACACACACACACACACACACACACACTATTGATCCATCCTATTGAGGTAAGTGAGAAAAGTGTCTGGCTCAAGATCTCGGGGTCCAACCTCTGGTGGCACTGCAAAAAAAAAGGAAGTCCATTCTTCTGGCACACCTGTCATTACTTTGGGTGACAGAACCCTGAAGGGAAACTGTACTGTTACATATACAGTTCTGAGCCCACGCAGAGTGACCGTAATGTTTTGTCTCTCCCCCGATTTGGTCTGGGTTTATAATGTTTTCAAATGGTCGTAAATACCGTGAATGGTAGGCCACTCCCAGGAGTTCTGCCTACTGACAATCCTCCACATATCTACCCAACCTGATTTCTTACAGTTTATATAACTCTTAGCTAGTAACCCAGAGACTCTACATCAACTCCCCCTCAGGTTTCACACCACAATGGGCTTTCCAAATTTATGAGTTACGGTCTAGAAACTGAGAAAAACCATAGAATACTAAATTTGAACCAGGCTACAATGCCAATGGCTAAAAACATACTAGTATCATGAAAATGTTTCTGACTTTCAATGGGACAATTGTATGTTCATTCTTTTTACATGGCTGCCAAGAGTAAGAAGATAAACATTAAAAGGGAGCCATAAATATACTAAATTATTATATAAATGTCCTTTATGTGTAAAACATCTTAATTTTTTCTAGCTGTTCTCTTTAGCTGGGGAACAGCTAAGTGGAGAGAAGTTATTTAATATACTAAAACTGTAATTCACAAAATCATTTCTTGTGCATAGAAGATACAAGCTAACCTATTTGCTACTCTAGTCCTAGATGGTGCTGGCTTGGCCTTGTAGGCTGCTAGGACTCAGCACAACCTGAGCCAGGGACCTTCACAAACATGCTGAGGCTAAGTGATGAGAGGAACCCTTTGAATCTGCCCAGTATTTCCTTCTGTGTCCAGCTGCCCAACAGGAAGAATGATGCAAACGATGCAGATCTCACCTACTCATACTCACTTGGACACAAATTGTGTCTTTGATCACAGGTCCTTTTAAGTTCCACACTTTAGAGCAGTGGATAGAGAGGCCGGCAGCTGAAGAACTTGGTACTGATACCATGCTACTTAAGACTGAGATGGAGGTAGAGGGATAACGAGGCTAGAAATACGCACCATCTTAAGGTTTTCTCTGGAAAAAGTGGAACCTTTGTGGTCGCAAACACTCTGCACGTTGGCCCCTTGGAGAAACTGCATATCATTTGAAGGCAAAATGCCTTCAGCAGTATTTGTATTTAGGCTTGGTGCTAGGCAATAACTGAAGCATCACAAGTGATAAAGTTTTTTTTTTTTCCTCCATTCTGTAAGAAGTTCATAGCAGAGAGCTTTTTCTCAAGAGTCCCAATAGTGTTAATTTTGTTTGGTGAATCAGTTGGTTCCAGCTGTGTAAAGCAAGGGCCAGAAAGAGATCACTCGGCATCATTAACTAGGCATGTGTGTGCGTTAAAATTTAATAGGGGTCACACCAAGATCCAGATCTGGCTTTGGGAACATAAATACACTGAGCGCATCTGTCCTGTGAATACAGCTATTTCTTTCATTCACGGACACTTGGCCTATCGTAATTTATCCCAGAGGTCATAGAAATGGGTTTAGGGTTCTCATAAAATCTTCCTAAGTACACTGAGCATGCAGTTATGTTAACATTTTCGTCGGTTGCAAGTTTCTTCTTTAAGTTGTAATATTTATATGAAATAGCAGCCCCGTAGCCTGACACCTAATGCATTCTGGAATGAGTTGCTCATTCACGAATCTCGCTACCCCTTTAATATACTTCCCTACATTTCAAACGTTAACTGTGTTTTTCTTTAATGGAGTTGAGGTATTCAGCTCTCACTCTGGTTTCGGAAACCCTCCCCAGCTCGGTGTGGCCGGTCTTGACTTTCCTAACAGCATAGAAAGAAAGGTCCGGGTGTTCTGTTTATGTTGCATGCTCTCACTGAGAAAACGGGAGATTCCACAGACACTTTCAAGCTGTTCCCTTTTTCATATTATGCCAAATTATGTGTCTCTTGCGACACTGCCTGTCTGATCCTTTGAGGCCTCGTTCTGAACTTAATTTTGTCTCAGGGGTCAGCCCAGCAGTGTACATCTGCCAGTGGGATATCTCAGCCACCAGAGGGAAACCTGTTATGCCCCAAGCTCTGCCTTCAGCTCATTAGTTCACTCTCGCCTGAAGCATAGACCTGCACCAGCCTCCTGGCACGTGAGGTCAAACCTCACACGGCAACCTTTGCTTTATAACCTTAATGTGACCCCCTGACTTAGATGTTCATTTTTACACTGTAAGTGGTTATTTTTGTCACTGTGAGCACAGAAATAAATCTCTCTTGGTAAATGAAATAGTAAATACAGAGAAACAAAACAAAAATTAAAAGGCCAGCAGTAGTTTAATGGTGAACTGCCTACTTATTCTAGAGGCCCCAAGTTTAGCACCAGATTAACAACAACAACAACAACAATCACTGTGACACATATTGCATAAAAGTGTTTTAATGTAAAACTTGATACAAATGGGCATAGCTTTCACTTTCACAGGAAGACCGGAGCAGCAGATCCTCATGGGGTGTGAGTGATCCCTCCAAAGCCTTGAGTGAGCCTGGGAATACAGTTAACCCGGGAATCCAGCCTGGATTCTTGTTGTAGCAAACAGATTTTGACAATAAAATTCTGGACCTCAGCTGGGATACAAAAGAAGGTCCTGAAGCCAACACAGGGGCCCCTTCAACTCAGCACTTGGCAGAGGAGAGTGTATAGTGCTCTGTGCAGAAACCTTCCGCTTCCCCACCACCGACTCATTTCACTGTGAAGCCCAGCCTTGCTTTCTTATCACTTCTCCACATGCAACCAATAGCTTGAAGGCTAAGCTTCATCCTTCCGGCAACTTCACTCTTCCTCATGCTGTCCCTGTGGCTGCTTCTACCCATAAGCCCAGGAGGCTGACCTCACACATCCAGATAGTGTCTCCGTTCCTGGAATGAATGTATCAGGTCTGCCTCCCTGTGGACTCCTCCTCTTGGTCCTTTGCAGGACCATCTCTCCCTTGAATTATTTACTCTTCGTATGGTTGAACTTTGTATTCCGTAGGTTCGATGATGAAGAAACTCACAGTTGTGCCCACCCAGCGCTCTCTCTTTTCTGCAGTAGGCGCCCATGTAGAGGGAGTAGGACTGGGTTCCCTACATCACCCTGCGAGGTATTTACGCCTTAGAAAATGAGACTTGCAGCCAGCTCTTCTCTGAAGCTAATTATTGAGAAGATTTGCCCACAACTAGGCTTTCTGTACCCATTCTGAGCCCTTGCCACCTTCCAGGAACTGCTATTCAGTGGGCACACAGGAAGTGCAGGGTCCTGAAGATCTGTTTTCTAAAACTGCAAAGAGAAAAGGGGCAATTCCAAAATAAGGAAACTGAAGAAGACTGCCTAGGCAAACAACCCAGGCACTTCTAAGTTCACTTAGAGCCATTTTAAGAGTAAATCCCAAAGGACTGCTGAGTAAAAATGTATACAAATTAAGCAAATCATCAACTTAGGCTATAAACACCTCGGCAACTCTTGGGGCTGTTCTTGTGCTCATCTAACTTACCCTGTGGCATAAATTCTCTGAGAAGTAGACTTGATTACTATTTGTGTCTAAAAGAAACACTTCAAATTAACAATGGGATCTTTTCCTTCTACCTGTAGGGACCCAGAGGACCAGATGGCCTCCCAGGAGATCAAGGTGGACATGGTCCCAAGGTGCTTGCTGATTCTGTTTCAAGTGCAGTTAAATTTGGCAGAGGCATTATGTCCTGTTTATCTAAATAATGTGTTTCCTTCTACTACGTGGTTTTTAATACACATCAGTCCTTTTAAATATTGAGCTCTAGACTTGATGCCTTGTTTTCTCTGTGGTTCCATGTAAGACCATAACTCAAATTCTGACCAATCCTTCTAATATTGATGTTTTGTTAGGGTGAAAAAGGAACTCAAGGAAAAAGAGGGCTTCCAGGTCTTACTGTGAGTAATAAAACACGTCTCCTTAAGCATGAACATTTTCTACCTGCCTGCTTTATAAATCCTTCCTTGTGCCATTTTGAGAAGGGGCTATATGACCTAAGCATGTTTTCCCTTATATGTAGGGTAAGGCTGGAAGCCCTGGGGAGAGGGGCGTTCAAGGAAAACCAGTAAGTTTCTGACTTTAATATGTTATTGTTATTAATAATTGAGCCTATATAACTGTCACTTTTACTTCATTCTCATCATAACTTATTTTTCTCTAAAACTCCTTCCAAAATGAAATGGCATGATATGTAACTGTAATAGGACGTGATAGAGAGCACAGAAGAAGAAGCTCCCGGGACCTCTCACCTGAGTTCTGTTCTGTCCCTTGCAGTGCAAAGCCATGCACATCTTGCTTTCTCATTATACTGCTGTGAGAGTTTTCAGTAGTTTGTAATGCCGGACATTTTCCTGCCATCTAACATCTTACCCGAATTGTACAGCTTTTCCCCTAAGCATCAATAATTTCTCTGGCTGTCATTGTGAAAGAGTAGAGAAATCCTGAAAAATGCGTATACAAACATAGACATATATGGTAATTATGTAAGTGAGCACACAGCTTACGTGTAGAGGTATTTTAATTGCTTTTCTTTGGAATCATATTGCTAATGACACTTTGATTTGTCATACAAATGTATATTATGGCTTCAGTTTAAATAATTTGATAACTTAAATGGATTAATGCTGAGACGTCAGAAAGGGCCAGAACAAACATGTTTCAGCTGGTGGTGGTTGTCACCAATGAGTGTTGGCTTGCTCCTATTTGAAATCTGCTGCCCCCTGCTGTTGTTTCCCATAATGTATTTGACAGAGGTCAAATCTGAAATACCAGAGACTTAAAAGAGAGAAAATAAATGACTGTCCTGAGAAAGAGCTGTGCTTGGCCTTGTGTCATTAACCGAAGGCATTACCAAAGAACACCCCTGTGTCTTCATATTCACCACGTGGGGGCTATTACTGCGTCAGTGTTAACAGTGCTCCTGTAGATTTTGACCACTTTGCTGTATTACAGGCAAGGCTGAGCTCAACTCCATTCCTTTAATTTTAAATAAGTGGGGCTCATGGAAATAGAATTATCCATTCTGTATATTGTTGACCTTCATTAGAGTTCTATCTTCAGTCTCTGCTTAGACGAATGGGATGTTTCCTGGATCCCATGAAATATACTAGGATCATTTTGCAACTGTCTTACAGCACATAAGTCCTATGGACTCCTGGAAGGATAAAGCTACCTTAAAAGATGCCACAGCTTGAACAGAAAATGATGAGTTTGTGATAAATGTTGTGGTTTATGAAATTCTTTGCCTACATTGATTCCTCCTTAAATAAAATTTTATGGAAGCAGGGAACATTTCATTGGAAATGCAAAATAAGCCCCAAAGATTCTTACAGTCTCTAGTCCTTTAGATACTGTCAAAAATAGACAATACTCTATAACACAGACATATACTAGAGTTTAGGCAGCTCTTTTTGCATGCCCCTAAAAATTCCCCCTGCTCTTATTCCTTCTCCTTACCTCCCTCCTTCTGCCATTTCTCCTCCTCCTTCCTCTCCTCCTCCTCCTGCCGTTCTTCCACCTCTTCCTCTTCTTCCTCCTTCTTTGGTAGAGATTCACTCAGGGCTTAAGTACATGCTCTATCACTGATCTACCCCAATCCCAAGAACTCAAACTATAGAAACAAATATTCGGTGAATCCAATGCACACAGCACTTGAATAATCCTGATAATCAGGAAGGATGTATTTGTCTGTGGACCAACACTGTTCCCACCCACCTGTAATCTGACCTAGAAGTCAAAGACCATGATCCAATAGCTTTGTGGAGTCATGGAGCCTGGGAGGCTGTTTTGATTGTCTAAATAATGAAAAATATAACATTTCATACATTACCGAGTTTTCGATGAAAGCACCCTATCAATTGAAAAGAGAGATCTGTAAACATCTCTCTCTTCAGCCAGGTGCTGTGGCTCAAGCCTGTAATCCTAGCACTCAGAGAGGCAGAGGCAGGTGGATCTCCGTGAGTGTGAGGCCAGGCTGGTCTACACAGTGAGTGCAGTGCAGCCAAGGCTACAGAGAGGAACCCTGTATCAAAAAACAAAAAGAAGGAAAAAAGAAAAAGAACGATCTCTCTGCTCTTATAGAACTCTGATTTTCCCACTATGATCCTTTATAATTTTTCTTTATGTAGTTTGAAATTCTATTATAATTTCATTCAATTTTGATTTTTCTCTTCTAGTAGTACTGTTTTAGAAATGGAATTATTTAACGTGAGCTTCAGTCTTGCTACCTTTCATAGGCTTGCAGTAGTCTGGAGTGTTTTCCTCACCAAGACGCATCTGTGTCTTGATGTTTAACTTGAACTTGTTCTACTTGGATCATGCTTTTTAGTCTGATAATCTCTGTATTTTAATTAGAGTGTTTGGCCTATTTCTATTTAATCTAATAGCCATGACTGGACTTAGGTTACTATTTTGTGCTTTTCTCTTTTTTATTTTGTTCAATGCCTTCTGTCTTGAAAATTATATCTTAACTTACCTATTGACTTTTGATTTGTACTCATTATTAACTTAAGTAGTTAGTTTACATCAGGATCAGCAAAGTTTTCTCATAAAGAGCTAGGAAGTAAGGATTTATTTTCCAGAACATATATGTAAAAATTTTCAGCCATATAGGACAATTTATTAACATGCTGTCTTAATACTGTGGTTGTTTTGTGTATTTCATCCATGTGTGTTAGGAAACCTCATTGTAAACAAAGCTTTTGTCTGAATATTAATGAAACTTTCTTTGCTTTAATGTAAATTAGTTGTGTACTTTAGAGCTTGGTATGAGGAGACAGGCTTTCACTCGCCATTTCTAGTTAGCTTCGTTCCTTCTTGAATGTACGAATGTCTAAATGTTGTCATTTCCCTATAGCCTATGAAACATCATTTAAGTCTAGGGATATCTGCTGAATTATCCTTTGATTTGTGAGATATTTTTATTTCACTTTTAATCCTGAAGGCAGTTTTCATTGCATATAAAACTCTATGTGCCATCAGCACCATGAAAAGGCCATTGAGAGAGAAGGGACCTTCAGGGAAAGATCCTCATGTATTTTTGTTATTATCTCCTGTATGGAATGGATAATATATATTTCGTATCGAGTTAGACATTTTGTTGACCAAATACTGGTTCTGCCACTTACTACTTGTTTTAACTTTGTATAAATTACTTAGCCTTTTGAGCCTCAGTTTATCTACATTTTAAAATGAATATCTGAGTGGGAGGAACTGAAGAGACTCAAATCGAAGGTTATGAGCACATCCTGCTCTTCCACAGAATCTGAGTTTGATTACAGGCCTCCGCACAGGGTGGCTCACCACCTCCTGTAATTTCAGCTCCAGGGATCCAATGTTCTCTAGGGCTTCCACAGGCACCCGCACATTCATGTTTTATACACACACACACACACACACACACACACACACACACGCACACGCACACGCGCGCGCACGCACGCGCGCGCAAACAAGAAAGAATCTTCTGTGGTTATGTGAACTGCGGCTATTAGTATATACTTTCCACGGATGCCCAGTAAATAACCACAACAGCCTTTGTTATTTTCATGCTCATTTGTTCCCATTTTTACTGAACTGAAGTCATGGAGGAAAGACAAAGCCATATATCATTAATAACATCTGAAAAACCTTAAGCAGAATTTTATTTAAGCCAATTTGTGCTTTTCCTCTTAGTCCTCAATAAAAACTGAGAACATGGAAAGCGTGTCCTTGCTTTGTGAAACAGCCTCTGTGCAGAATCCATGGAATTAATGGACTACTAAGTTGGCTCCGTGTCCAAATATGCTTTACAGAGCAAACGGAGCACACACCATTTAAAGGTCTGAACTTTCATTACACGCTTCAGTTAGCATAGCAGGCAGAGCAAGGTCTTTGTATTGATCCTTTCTATGAATTTAGAAGTGAATGAAGACCATACAATTTTCAGGATTGAAACGGAGCTTTAGCCACAATAGATAGATAGATAGATAGATAGATAGATAGATAGATAGATAGATAGATAGATAGATAAAAAGATAAATAAATGTTTAAAATTTAAAAAGAACAGATTTTCCCTCTTATGTAGAACTAACATATAGCCCACCATTTCCATTTCTAGTATATGCCCAAAGTAATGGAAATCCACTCAGATATTGCACACCCGTGTTCATAGTAGCATGTTCACAATATCCAAAGGCTGGGGCAACCAAGTGTCCCCTGACAGGCGAATGAGCAAAATGTGGTTTATGCATTCATGAGAATATGAGCCAACTTTAAAAAGGATGTTTTGACACACCCTACAAGGAAGAACCATGAAGACAATAAATAAGTAAATAAGCCAGATTCAAAAGAACAGGTATCATATGATCTCACTTATGGTAATTACCTAGACAGGCAAATTCATACAGAAGTAGCCACAGGGAACAGGGAAAGTGACTAGAGGAATACAAGAATTCTTAGGAGGGTTTCAACTGGGAAGATGAGAAGGTTCTGAAGAGGGATGTTGGAGATGGTTGTGGATCTACTTAAGGCTAAAGGATTATATTCTTAACTGTGCTCATGGTAAATCTTACGTATATTTTATGACAAAAGGAAAAATTAAGGAATGCATAGAAAAGACCCCACAAGCAAAGGTAGGTGTGTGAGCTGCTAACACATTTTCAGATGCTATGTCTTTCTCTACAAATTTCTCATTTGTTTGTCAAGGGCTTACAAGGAATCCCTGGCAGCTCAGGAGACAGGGGGCCTGCCGGAGAACCAGTAAGTTTCTTTATGTTCTTTTAATTATAGCTTTCCTATAAGGTGTATTTACTTTCCATGACTGTTAGTCTGCAGTACTCTAAGTGGCTTTATAAACAATGTTGATGCTAGGTGGCATAGACAAAATCTACAGAATGGATGTTTCACTGTATCAATTCTGCAAAAACATACGTACACACACACATATGTGTTGTTATAGATTTTGTTGCTTTTATCACTTTATTTAGTCAAATTTGGTGCTTTTCAAAGCTATGACTTTTAAAAGGGACATATTTCTGTTTTTGAAAAAAGAGAACTTTGTTCTAGTGACTCTCAAAATTGCTCTTTCTGGATAGCCTGCTCTTCTTATAACTGCTCCATTGCCACACCCATAGTCACCAGTCCTATAATGAAGGCCAGATAGTGAAGCCAGGCTCTGTATTTGATTGGCCCAACTATGCAAATATGACTGAAATGCAGCTATATCAACAATGCAAAAACATATGCCACAATTCCATTGCTATGATTCAGTCCTGGGGTTTCCATGGAAAGAGCTTGTGCAAAGGAAAGACTCAAACACACTCCTTTCTCACAGCTCAGTCTTTATTGGCAATGAGGTCATCCTTTGGGGTAATCGTGGGGTAAGATGCTGTAATGTGCTTTTGAAATTCATCACACAATATGGTCTTTTGAACCACTGGGTTGATGTTATCACCAGTTGACACAAATGTTTTCCAGGTGGCCTTTACATAATTAATTGAGATAGTAACAAGTGGAAAAGTTTACCAAAGAGTAAAAAGTTCACTCTTATCCTATGACATAAGCTCACCAAACAATAAGGGTTCACAATATGTGTAATTCTTGCCTGATGAATATCTAAAATGTGACATCAATTCTGCATAACTAAGCCTTCGGATTGTGCTCTGTTTTATGTGCCTCAACCTGCTATCCCATCACTAATATTTATTTGACCTGAAACAGTACAGTCGACTTTTGCACAGCCTAGTTAATGCTCTGAAAACTCATAAGCTCCTCAAAGCCAGAGGTCATTTCTTTTATCTTTGTGATCTCCTTTCCTGGTGTGATGCCCAACATACTCCATTTACCCAATGTGTGTTTGTTAAATTGAATAAACAAAAGGTCATGTACCCAAAGGTACATGGACACAGTAAGTAACATTACACTGAGGAACCAGAATGAAGACTGATGAGATTTTACTAAGTGTATCAAAGGAGCCGTGGTCACAATGGAGGCAAAATCTTAAGATGCATTCATACAAGAAAAGACTTGTTAGCAAAATGACTTAATAGTGCTTAAAATGTCAATGTGAAGGACACAAGGTCACGGAACTGGCAAATAAAATATAGACCAATTTATGAAGTATCCAATAGAGTTTGTGTCATATATTTGAATGACTGCTTCAATCATAGAAATGAAGAAAATTGTTGAAATGAGAATGGCACAAAAATGTATTCTATATTTTTATAGTATTATAATAAGAACTACAACCTCTCTATAGCCAAAATTTTTTCTCCATTATAAAGCAAGCTTTTCTTTTAAATGGATAGCTATTCATTCAGTTTCAGTCAACAAATATTTATAAAGAATCTGCCCTTGGTATTTAACAACAAGCATGACATTTGCACTCTAGCGATAAAAAATTATTGATTAAACATTTACATATATAAGTAGACAATTGTGAATTGAGATAAACACCAGAAAGTACAGATGGTACTCAATATCCCTGGGGAAGCAGTTCAGGATCCTGCTCAGAGACTGTCTGCGGATGCTCAAAACCCTTGCATAAAGTAGAATACTGTCTTTTTGTCATCTGCCCATTTCTCCTGTGTGCTTTAAATCATCTCTGGGCTATTGTGCTGATTGAAAGTGGTTCCTTTGGAAACTTCCATTCCTCCAGGATTTCTCAGAAGGCCACCTTCCTTTCGGTTCAGTGTTGTAATGCCATTAGCCTTTGCATTTGCATTTTGTTCTGTTCTCAATGAGAAGTCATAGTTCCAAACAATGGTCTCCTCTAATAATTTTTGTAGTGGATGTAAGACTGAGGTTAAGTCTTAAATTTCTCAAAATATTGGTAGAAAAGAATAAAAATGCACCCCCCCAAAAAAAAGGGCTAAAAGAAATGATGGAAACCAAACATATAAATTAGAAGTTTCAGACCTACCTTAGTATGTAGGGATGAATGTGAACAGACAAGCTATAGCTGTTAATCCAGCCACTGTTTTACAAATGAAGTCCCTCTAAATTAGTCATATTCTCAATTTCTTGATAGAATAATCAAGAGACTAATAAAAAAAAACCCACAAACCACTGATATCAGAAATGAGAAACCATCACTACTGATTTCATACAAATTAAAAGGATGAACAGTTCCTATGTCCACAAACTCTGGAACTTAGGTACTATTAACCAACTTCTTAAAAGACTATTTTCACAAAACTCACTTAAGAAATGATCATTTGAGAAGTCTGTGTTAGGTAACTGCTTAAATAAATAATCAATAACTGTCCAAAGCAGAAAACGCTAGCCCTGATGCTAAAGTTAACAAAGTCTAATAAACATTTAGCAGACAAATGGTGCAGCCTGAGACAGGAACTGCAGGTGGTGATGACTTCTTCCTGGCTCATTCCAAGAGGCCAGAATTTTCCCAGGACCAAAACCAGACACATGCATTATAGGGAAAGACTAATTTCACTCAGGAACAGAAGTATAAAATCCTCAGCAGAATATTAGATCACATCCAACACCATTGATTGTACATCATGACCAAGTAGGATTTGTTCCAGGCATTCAAGAGAAGTTTAACATTCAAAAATCTATGTAATCCATCATCTTAATAGTCTAAAGAAGAAAATAAAGTATCATAAATACATCCAGGGAAATTATTTCACAAATTCCTATGTCCACTTATGCTAGAAAATAAAATACAGACTCTCAGCAAATTTGGAATAAAGGGGAAATCCCTAAGCTTTATGGTGACCAATATTTGGAGAAAATAACCTTTAAAACTAAAGAAATGGATATAGTTCCTCACATTTGTGAGACAGAATGTTATTTGACAAAGATCATGTATTATGGGAAAATAACTTTAAAACCAGAAAAAATAGATATAGTTCCTTAATGCTCTGAAAACTCATAAGCTCCTCAAAGCCAGAGGTCATTTCTTTTATCTTTGTGATCTCCTTTCCTGGTGTGATGCCCAACATACTCCATTTACCCAATGTGTGTTTGTTAAATTGAATAAACAAAAGGTCATGTACCCAAAGGTACATGGACACAGTAAGTAACATTACACTGAGGAACCAGAATGAAGACTGAATATTTGTGCAACAGAATATTATTTGTCAAAGAAAAGAAAAGAAAAGAAAAGAAAAGAAAAGAAAAGAAAAGAGCCATTAAGTTAAAATATTTGTAGACAAGCCACACGTGCATGGTGCTGAGTAAAAAAAGCCAACTGGAAAGCTCTATATGCTATGGCATTCTGGGAAAGGCAAGACTATAAAGACAGAAACAAAACAAAACAAAAACAAAAACAAAAACAAAAACCACGTATTTTTCCTTTAAAATATCTGTGTTTGTTACATAAAATGCCAGGGTTATTAAGAAGACATAAGCCTGCCGCGCATACTAGATAAGGCACGTTGTGAAAGCCCTCAGCACATGCTCCAGTTTCGTTCTGTTGCTCTGATGGAGCATTCTGACCAAAGAATGGGAATGCTACAGCTTGTAGACTTCAGGCTATCATTGAGGGAAATCAGGGCAGGACGGCGAAGCAGAAACCACAGATGTTGTTTGCTGCTCCATTACAGGTTTATACTCAGCTCGCTTACCTGCCTAGGGAATGGCGCCACCCACAATCATCTAACCCTCCCACATCAACTAACAGAAAAGACAACCTCCCACAAACATGCCTACAGTTAAAGATAACCAGGACAGCACAGTATTTGATAATTAGTAGGTATTTGATAAATGTTTGTTGAATGAATGAGTGAATTAGGAAATAAAATACAACAGCATCCTTTGCTCTATTTTTTATTTTGAGTACAGCATAGTTTAATATCATTCATGAAACAACGCAGATAAATCTAAATCTATGAAAGTTAAATTTTTATTTACATAGAGAATAAAGTAAGATGCCAAATACTGTTTATTAAAATTAAATGGAGTTGTATTGTTTATTAAAAGAGTAAAGTTTGATTCTCATATCTTCAACTTATTTAAACATAGGGGCCACGAGGACTGCCTGGTAATGCTGGACTTCCTGGAGAGATGGGTGTGGAGGTAACATTTTGTGGTTCATTCTAACTTTGACTCAGTATGTCTTATAAAACAAGGCGAACTAAATAGTTCAGTATATGTCATGGAGAATCATTTTATAGAATTTTACTTTATATTTAGAAAATAAAACCTAAAACTCTATAAAAGACAGAAATAATCAATGTGTGCAGATAAGTTCATATATACAAAGTTCTCCTTTAAGAATTAGTTCACTGAAATGATTAAACAAAAAGTGAATAAAGACTTCCCTTCACTGATTATAATTGATTGGATAGCTCTTCATTCTAAGAGGTGACATCATTCAGGGAATGGGAAGTTTTGAGGTCACACTATTTACTAAATCATTCAGAATAATAAACCTCATGTGTTATAATTATGAAGTCCAATTACTTTATTTCTCTTTCTTTAGTAGTAAAACCATACATTCCCCCTAGTTCTCTCTCTCTCTCTCTCTCTCTCTCTCTCTCTCTTTCTATCTCTCTCTCTCCTCATTAGCCTTTCTTAGACTCATACAATACTGCTCTTCAACCTCCTTGGCTTTGGTAACTGAATATCAATGTCCCAATAAAAGCTGTAACTCACTCCTCTCTTCTTAAACCACTTATTGTCATCTTGTTGGCTTTTATGTATCCATCTAGGTAGCCCACAAACATCTCATGTGCAAAATATGTGCACTCCGTTTTTTCTCTACACAAAGCCCACCACTTTCCTGATCTTCTGTTTTCATGAACATCTCATTGAAAGGTCCCATGATGCCCAAGGAGCCCAGCCTGAGAGTCACCCTAAGCTACTCCTCCGACTTCACACTCATCTTTCCTCTTAAATAAGCCCTCGCTGCCTTAAATCTATCCTTCCTTCTTCAGCTATCCTGCAAAGGGCTAACCTTCCACCTTTATGCCATTTCTCCTCCACCTTCCCTCAGGCCCTCAGCTACTCATTGCCAGTTTATATTTCTTACATCATTCTCAAGATTCTTTAAGAACTGCATAACCTTTACAATAAATATCCATTTCTTTTGTAAATTTTTATAAACTTTATTACTTTAAAAATGTGCAAATAAAAAAAATCACATACCTAAATGAACCTATTTCTTAACCCAATAATTTCTATATGGTCTACTTCTACAGACCCATTCTTTATAAATTATTCTTCATAAAAGTTTTATTCTGCTTCTAGGCTTATTGACCTAGCTCCCCTTTCTTGGATATGCTGTGCCTCTTACTGTACACCTAGCAGGGGATGCATGATAAGGACACTGACTCCTTTAACAAACTAATAATCGATTTTAGAGTATAGTCAACATCGACAATCATTATTTGCAATGGGTTAGACTCAGTAATGGAGATTTTCACAGGGAAATAGAGGAACAAAGCAATTTCTGCTTCACCCTGCCTGGGGAAGGAGAAAAATGAGACATGTATATGAAAACATAGAAAATGAGATTGAAGGAGAAGAATGAAGCTTTAGTGATATGAGAAAGAACACTACACATAAGAGAATCCCAGGAAGGTAGACAGTATTAGGAAGATTCTTTTTTTTTTAAAATCTTTTATTTTTTTTTATTAATTACACTTTATTCATTTTGTATCCCCCCATAAGCCCCTCCCTCCTCCCCTGCCGATCCCACCCTCCTTCCCCTTTCTGCATGCATGCCACTCCCCAAGTCCACTGATAGGGGAGGTCCTCCTCTCCTTCTTTCTGATCTTAGTCTATCAGTTCTCATCAAAAGTGGCTGCATTGTCCTCTACTGTGGCCTGGTAAGGCTGCTCCCCCCTCAGGGGGAAGTGATCAACGAGCAGGCCAATCAGATTATGTCAGAGGCAGTCCCTCTTCCCATTACTATGGAACCCACTTGGACACTGAACTGCCATGGGCTACACCTGTGCAGGGGTTCCAGGTCATCTCCACAAATAGTCCTTGGTTGGAGTATGAGTCTCTGGGAAGTTCCCTGTGTTCAAATTATCTTGTTCTGTTGCTCTGCTTGTGGAGTTCCCGTTCCCTCCAGCTCTTACTATTTCCCACTTCTTACATAAAATTCCATTCACTCTGCCCATCAGTTGGCCATCAGGCTCAGCATCTGCTTTGACAGTCTATACTGCAGAAGCTTTCAGAGGCCCTCTGTGGCAGGTTTCAAGGTTGTTTATTAGGAAGATTCTTAGACTATGGAGCTGTGTGGTATATTTGGTGCTTACTTTCAAAAAAGAATAGAAACTGGTTAGAGGAAAACCATGAAAAGCCTCATGTATCTATTAAAAAGCTTGAGCTTTTTATCTTGGGCAATTATAAGTCATTATATAAACAAGACAGTGATGAGGCCAGATACATTCAAGTTTTGAAAAAATAACTCCAGCAGCTGAATGAGAAATGTTTTTCAGCAAAAATAAGTAAGGGCAGGTCTGTTTATTAAAAGGATATTTAAAATGCTTATGATGGCACAGGCCTCCAATCCTAGCACTCAAGAAGGCATGAGGATCATTCTGAGTTCAAGGCTAGCCTGTGATAAAGTGAGCTGAGCTGTGGTGTGAGACCCTGTCTGAAAGAAAGAAAGAAAGAAAGAAAGAAGGAAGGAAACGAAGAAAGAAATACAGGAAGAAAGGAAGAAGAGAGGAAGAGAGAGTGAAGGAGTGTAGGAAGCTAGTAAGTTGAAATGATTGATGTATGCATACAGATACTTGTTATATGAATTCTGCAGCCCCTCCATAGGTGGAATTTGGAAAGCAAAGCAGAAAGAGAAGTCAAATCATTCTGACATTTCCAGGTTATGAAACAGAAGTAACAGCACGTCTTCCTGAGTCTGGAAGTGTGTGAAGCAAGCCCAGGTTCTCTGTGAGAACAGCAAGAGCTGTTAACTGCTGCGCCATCTCCCCAGCCCCTTCCCCTCATTCTTTAAAGGCCAGTCTGAAATGTAGCGGTGCAATCACCGATTATCTGGGGAGAATATATGTCATGTTACGTTAATTGCGTTAATTGTGTTAAAGCTGTTTTCATTGTCGCTGAAGAAATTGCAGTAGTGGATAACTGTGAGTGACGAGACAGCCAGTGAGCTCTGCATTGTGGTGTTTTTACTTGCCTTTCAACATAGCACTTTCATCTTGGTGAGGCAAACTCCTCTGCTCATCCACCCAAGGCAAATAGCTTACAAATAACAGAGCTGACTAAGATCTGACCTAGAGATAAAGCTTATGACCAGGACTTTGCCACATCCTGAGCCTGAAGAAAGCACAGGGAACTCACACCTTGCGGCTTGAAGTTTTTAAGAGAATAGGTGAGATTCTGTTGTGATAAGAATGTGAAGGGTTGAGTTGGTGTTCTGAGGAACATAAGGGGTTTCAACAGTGGTTGGACATCAGAGAAAAGAGAGTGCCTGTTAGCAAGTAAAAGACCAGATGTGCCTCACTCTGGCGCAAACTGACTGAGGACGCTGGACCAATGAAGCAAGCTTAATGAGACCAGCAGCACTTCCATGCTCTGCGGCCTCTGCACATAGTTACTTCCCCCATTTTACAGAGGAAGAAACTGAGGCATGGAACTACCAAAGAGCACTCGCTAGTAATAATGTCAGTCTCAGGTCCAAACACAGGCACTCTGCCTCCATATTCTCAGCCATGGAAGTAAACACCTAGGAGCCAAAGCACGGAAACCTAATTTCCTCTAGGCAGTGGAACTGGACTTTCCATTATGTGCCCATCTCTTCTACCGTGTATGTACATTTTATTTTACTTTACTTTGAAAAACGGTGAATGTGTACTGCAGCAACTTTATGAAAAAAGAAAAAACTGATCTTCCTTCACTTAAAATATGATTAAATAATGCAAATATTATTTTAAATTCTAGTAATTATTTTTTAAAAAAGAGTGTCATCTGTGCATTGTAAGTATAGAAGAATTTCTGAAAAGAAATAAAAATAGAGTAGAGGGAAAATGGTAGTGGGGATAAAAGAACACATACAGTTCCACTCCAAGCTATAGAACTGTTGGAAGTTGTTAGCTGCAGGGGGAAAGTGAGTTTTCTCGGAGATTATAGCCCTTGGTAAACTGACCACTTTCCTGTAGAAGACAACAAATCCAAAAATATTTGGGTTGAACTAATTTGTCTTGGAAGATCTTTTTAACGACATAAAGTTGGGTAGGTAGGGTGATGTGAATTGGGGAAGACATGGGAGAGACGGCGTGAATCTGATCAACATATACACAAAACTCAGCAAGCTGATAGGAATGGGAGGGCAGAGTGAATAGAGAAGACGGAGGCACACAGAGGATGCAAAAAACATGACTTATACTCTGGGAGATGAAAAGAATACTACAGTGGCTGCTGAAGCTCCAGACCTTGAAAGAGCCCAAGATTGCAAGAAACTGTGTTTCCAATGTCAAAATAATCAAAGCTCACCTAACAAAACTAGACTCACCATGAAAGGAGACTGGAAAAATATTCCGTACACCCACTTTTTTGTGAGGCAACATCATCATTAATTTATGTAGTACGTTTTATTTTAAAAATATGAAAAATAATTGGTCTTAGAGAAGCTGGTTTCAGTGAGCACAAGAAGAAGAGATGTGAAGACCACAGGTGGGGAAACAGCCTTGAACCTGAGGATAGGAAACCTGAAGCTGTAGGAAGTAGATTAGCTTATATTCTCTACAGTTGCAATGATGAAAGATTGGAGGGAAATGGTCTTAATTGTTCTGGTTTCAAATGAAGCTTTTTTTGATGTTTGAATTGTTAAAGATTCCAAGAAAGTATCTGTCTCCTGCTTTGAAGTTTGTGCAGAGGCAGCCAAGACCCTCTTCTGCACACAGACTCACCTCTGAGCTGAAACTCAGACTACCTCCGGGTTGGTACAGCTTTTGTAATATGTCAAATCTTTCTCTTTAGGGACCTCCAGGCACTGAGGGAGAATCTGGCCTGCAAGGTGAACCAGGAGCTAAGGTAACTATTCTAAAGTGTAAGAGAGAGGGAATTTCTTTAACTTAAAACCCATACTTTTCACAGTTTGACAAACACCATCTTTTTTTTTTTTTTGGAGGGGAGCAATGTTGAGACAAGTGTTTCCCTGTGTAGCTCTTGCTGTACTGGAACTCACTATATAGAGCAGAAGTCTGTGTCAATGTGCTGAAATTAAAGCCATGTCTGCTGACAAGCACTATCTTTAAGGCCATCAGAAGAGCTCAAAGTATTCAGGGTGCTATCTCTCATCATCTGCACCCATAATTAGAAGGGTATCTTGAGTCAGAAAAGCTTAGTCTTGCCTTTGTCTCTTCAGGGAGATGTTGGACCTGCTGGAAGTGCTGGAACAGTTGGGGAGCCAGGGTCACGCGTGAGTACCTACAATATCAAGCTTAATGCTCTTTGACCCACTTGTTTGGGGGCACTCAAACTTAACCGCCCTAATCACACCAAAAAGTAGTGCAATAAGCCTTTCAGATGCACTACAAAATGTTCCATGACTTTGCAAACTACACATTAAACTCTCTTTATGTTCTAAGTTTGGCGTTTGGAATCCTGAGTGACTTTTCTCAAAACCAGGTGTGCTCTAATGAGCCTTGTGGAAAGAGCTTGATCACGTGGTCGTCATTTAGAAAAACAGGAAGAAGAGATTCACAAATCACTGACCAAAACTCAGGACGTTTTCTAACCTAACAGACAGATGAAAGATTAAAATGTAACTTGTGTTTAAGAACCAGCTCAGGACCATGTGAATCTAGTGAAATGCAAGGAAATTTTTATGAGGAGTTGTAATTTGGTAGCTTAGAAAAGTTACAATAGTACAGACAGGCCTTAAGCCATAGTAAGTTGATTTTTTTTCTGAAATAACAATGTTCAAGATAAGTTTTCACGAAAAAGAATGAAGTAGGGGGATTTATTTTTCTCACCTTGTTTGTTGCTATACATTTTTCTTTTAGGGGGTAGAGATTACAGATCAACTTCATACAGGGTTATAAATGAGAGTACTATTAATCAGTACTAACTAATTTACTTTAACTTACTTATAAAGAATAACACTGTCTTAAACCTTCATAAGCTATGCTCTATGTTTTTTGCAAGTTTCATATCTAAGAGGCAGCTTATTGGTGTGCATTGGCCATAATCTTTACCTCTGAAGAAAGAAAGTTCAGAAACTAAAAGTCTGGTAACATAATCATGAGTTTTGTTACATTAACCCATGTAAGTTCATTATAGCAAGGAGCTGCATTTCTTATGGTGGCGGTGTTTACATTTCTTGATCTCAGAAGCATGTTCTAGTAATAGTAACCTCCAGGCTCCAGATTACCTTTAATTATCGAAAATTTATTAGCATTCTAGAAGCACATCGTATTTGAATTTACAACACTGAGTGCTGTAAATTTGGCAGAGGTCTTCCAGGCAAATTAAACCATATTTATTACACTGTCAAGTCCTCTTTAGAGATAAGGTTGAAGTAAAAATGGATGGCTACAAACTAGCTACTTCTTACACTTACTAGGGATAAAATGTAAAATAAGATCAGTGAGATAACTAAAAACTTAATCTTATTTTGTCTGCACCAAATAAAATAGGGTGAACCAGGAGCTCCTGGAGAAGAAGGTCTCCAAGGAAAAGATGGATTAAAGGTAAACTACATATATGTATGTATGTATGTATGTATGTATGTATGTATGTATGTATGTATGTATTTTTGAGAAAATGTCTCATGCATCCTAGGCTGGCTTCAAACTCATAATTTATCCTGAGAATGGCTTAAACCTCCCAAATCCTGATATTATAGGATATATTCATTGCCATATATCAACCTCTAACTCCCAAGTCCTGATATTATAGGGTTTATTCATTGCCATATATCAACGCCAAGGTATCACATCATATGCGCTAGACAAACATGAGCAAACACAAGTGTAGGCCCAGCCCTACACTGTAATTTTAAATGAAATATCTAAAATATCAGGCTTAATTACTTTGTGTGTCAAATAAAAAGAAGTACTTGTTACATAACATTATTTCACCATGTTCTTAAAAATAAACACCTTTCTTTGGGTTGCAGGGGGCTCCTGGAGGAAGAGGACTTCCTGGAGAAGATGGAGAAAAAGGAGAGATGGGCTTACCAGGAACAGCAGGGCCCTTGGGTACACCAGGTCCAATGGGTCTTCCAGTAAGTACTGCTGGTTCACTTAACTCAGTGCTGTACAAACAGGTAAACACACACACACACACACACACACACACACACACACGTGCATGCACTCATCACACGCACATGCATGCACATCACACACACAAGCATTCACAGCACACACACACACCACACAAGCATTCACAGCACACACACATGCATGTACACCACACACATGGAAACACACTTGCACACTTTGACCTCCTTTTGTATCTACACGGTGACTGGAGATGTTGAACTATCTGTTGAGTGACAAAACTGTGAGTCATCCTCAGATGCAAAGGTGGAGGAAAAGACACTTTTTCATCAACAGCTGAATTTTTGCTGGGGAAAGTCTGTTGTCTCAGACTTTGTGTAAATATTCTGCATCTTTGTTCATAGAGCTCGCGTTCTTGTTATAGAATTACATCCTGGCCCTGGATTAAGATTCTTTGCAAGCATGATACACTACCAGTTCCTGCTACTGAATTACATTGCTTTAAAGGAAATGCAAAATGTTGTAGCGAGATAATTTTCTCACCTTGAGGCAAATGTAAGATGTGGATAAATGAGAGCAGCTTGTCTCCATTTAAACTATTAGGGTGCTTGTGACACTCTTCCACATACGGAGTTCTAGTCTTTGGGGTGGTTGTTTGTAGTTTTAACTGTTACTCTGCTCTGATACTTTTAAGCATGGGGGATTATTCTATTTTTATTTCTCTAAGTTGTCTTGACTTTAGAGATTGTTTCTTCCTTGGTAGATGAATCCTTATGATTCTACTAAACAATGACAAAAAAAAAAGAAAGAAAGAAAGAAAGAAAGAAAGAAAGAAAGAAAGAAAGAAAGGAAAGAAAGAAAGAAAGAAAGAAAGAAAGAAAGAAAGAAAGAAAGAAAGAAAGAAAGAAAGAAAAGAAAGAAAGAAAGAAAGAAAGAAGAAAGAAAAGATGTCTCTCTCCTCTGTGCTCTGGCAATCTCCAGCCTTTTAAAGAATCAGAGTTGACTTTAAGCTGTGGAAGTCTTCTTCCTGGGAGATTAATGTTAAACAATGCATCTCTTTCTTCCATTCTCTTATTTTCCACTTTCTTTTGGGCTTCTGTATTTCCACAGAAATACAGAAGTCTGAGGGACTAGCCCTGGATGAATTCACCAGGCAGGCAGGCTGGCTGGGAAGAGAGCGGTGATTCATAAAGTTGGTGATCGTTATGTATTTTTATCGTGTGTCTCTTCATTGGCTTCTGGCCTCCAAATCAATGATGTCTTGTTGATGGGGTAGCCCTGCCCTAGTCAGCTCAGCTGAGTTTGCCTCACCCAGACTATGTTGAAAGGCGAGTCAAAAGCTCTCACTGGCTGTCTCATCACTCACAGTTATGCACTACAGCAATTCCTTTAGCTACAATGAAAACAGCTATAACACAATTACTATAATATGACATATATTCTCCCCAAATAATAGGTGATTGAACCAGCATATTTCAAATTGGCATTTAAAGAATGAGGGGAAGGGGGCTGGGGAGATGGCTCAGCAGTTAACAGCTCCTGCTGTTCTCAGAGGACCTGGGCTTGGTTCCCAGCACCCACATGGAGGCTAGCAACCACCTTCTCAACCCAACTCCAGGGAGTCCGGTGTTCTCTCCTGACCTCTGCAGGCATCAGGCATGCACATGATGCACACACATGAGCAGGCACGACACTTATACACAGAAATTAATTAGCTAATTAAACATAGAGCAAAGGATGTGGCTAAAGCAAAGACATCACTGTGTTTGAACATTAGCACGTAGAGACTGGCTCCTCCACTTTTGCCATCATGGGAGATTGCCAATTTATCCACTCCCCTGACATCTCAACACAGCAAACACAATACCTTAAAGATTCTCCTACGAATCTATGTGTGGTATTATTCCACATTTCACTAGGAAAAAAATTCAGACTCACAACATTGTAACAGGTGCCAGAGCTGACAACAATTCCTTTATCCTATGACATTAGCATCCCCTAAACCTCAGTGAAATACTTCGGGTCCTAGATTTTACCTTCCTGGGGTTCTTGATAGATTTTTTATTAATTTTAGAGAATTATTTTTCCATTAACATCAGGGAAATAGATTTGTAAGGAAGAAAAGTGGCCAGTGCCAAGAAGTTGTGATTTCTGATAATCCTTTTATTTATTTATCTATTTACTTATTTAATTATTTAATTATTTAATTATTTATTTATTTATTTATTTATTTATTTGTTATAATTTACTCACTTTGTATCCCAGCTGTAGCCCCCTCCTTTATCCCTTCCAAATCCCACCATCCCTCCCTCTTCTCCTCTCATGCCCCTCCCCAAATCCACTGATAAGGGAGGTCCTCCTCTCCTTCTATCTGACCCTAGCCTATCAGGTCTTATTAGGACTGAATGCATTGTTTTCCTCTGTGGCCTGGTAAGGCTGTCCCCCCCTCAGGGGAAAGTGATCAAAGAGCCAGCCACTGAGTTCATGTCAGAGACAGGCCCTGTCCCCCTTACTAGGGAACCCACTTGGACACTGAGCTGCCATGGGCTACGTCTGTGCAGGGGCTCTAGGTTATCTCCATGCATGGTCCTTGGTTGGAGTATCAGTCTTAGAAAAGACCTCTGTGCCAGATTTTTGGTTCTGGTTCTCTCCTTGTGGAGATCCTGTCCTTTGCAAATCTTTATGTCTCTACCTTCTTTCATAAGATTCCCTGCACTCTGCCCAAAGTTTAGCTATGAGCCTCAGCATCTACTTCGATACCCTGATGAGTAGAGCCTTTCAGGAGTCCTCTGTGGTCCTGTTCCCGGTTTTATCCCTCTTCCGATGTTTATACTGTTTGCCTTTATGAATGGGGATTGATCATCCTACCCAGGGTCCAAGTGGATCAAAGACCTCAACAAAAAACCAGACACACTAAATCTGTTAGAAGAAAAAGTGGGGAAGAGCCTTGAACTCATTGGCACAGGACACAATTTCCTGAACAGAACACCAACAGCACAGGCTCTAAGATCAACAATCAATACATGGGACCTCATGAAACTGAAAAGCTTCTGTAAAGCAAAGGACACTGTCATCAGACAAAACAACAGCCAACAGACTGGGAAAGGATCTTCACCAACCCTACACCTGACAGAGGGCTAATATCCAGAATATATAAAGAACTTAAGAAGTTAAACAGCAACAAACCAAATAATGAAATTTAAAAAATGAGGTACAGTGCTAAACAGAGGATTATCAATAGAGGAATATTGAATGGCAGAGAAACACTTAAAGAAATGCTCAAGGTCCTTAGTCTTCAGGAAGGTACAAATCAAAACAACCCTGAGATTTCACCTTGCATCCATCAGAATGGCTAAGAGCAAAAACTCGAGTGACAACACATGCTGGAGAGGTTGTGGAGAAAGGGGAACCCTCCTCCCCTGCTGGTGGGAATGTAAATTTGTACAATCACTTTGGAAATCAATCTGTCACTTTCTCGGGCAATTAGGAATAGTGCTACCTCAAGATCCAGCTGATAATTCTTGACTTCAGGGCTGTGAATATTGCCCAGGGGTAAAACAGATGTCTAGCATGCCCAGGTGAGTGTGTGTGTGTATATGTGTGTGTGTGTGTGTGTGTGTGTGCGTGAGCATTTGTAGCTAGTAATTTATGTTTCAGCTTGGACTCCTAAAATAACTATCTTGACCGTAAAACAAAGGAAAAGAACAATCTAAGTGAACATAGCACAGCATCCTCAGAGACTCCAAGGATGGTGCCATACGACAGCTGGTGATGGGGAGAGCAGAGATGGAGCTGGGGCTCCAAACCGAGCATGGAAAATGATAAACACAGATTCCATCTGCTTCCTAACGTCTCCCAGGAACAATCCTGCCCAGTACGCATCTTTGTTACTTTTTTTTTTTTTTTTTTTTTTTTTTAGCAACAACACATGTGTGTTTCTTTTTTACTCTTTTTTGTTGTTCTCTTTGGAATTTTAAATGCCTTTCAGCTTATAAACTCAATAAAAATACCATGGCATATTTTTTTCAAAGAATTTTATGATCCAAGGAAGTATTGCTTAATCAGGCAGCCTGATGTTGGTTTTAGTTTGTGCTTTTAAAATTGTTCCTTGGGCAATGTCACAAAGATGCTACCTCCATTTTTACAAAATAAACAAGAAAAAGGGTGAGAAAAAAAATTTTTTTCAAAAGAAGCTGATCTTGGAAGACTGAGAATGAGATCTGTGTTGAGGAAAACATCAATTGACAAATTCAAAATCCAAGCCGATGCTTGTCAAAACAAGAGAGAAATTATGCACATTTTTCTGCATGAATTCTATTCTAAAATGTTCAATCGCCTGAATGCATATCTTTACTAGAAAAGAAACATCTGTCTCACTTACGGTCAGTTATGCACATCTGAAGATTCTACCACAATGGAATCTCATCTCTAAACACACGTGGAGCTATGAACTCCGGAGTTAGAGCATATTAAAATGAGATTATTTTATTCTATTCCTTTAGTGGAAAATTCAGTTAGACTTCCCGAAATATGCCTTTTTGATCTGCTTAAGTTAGAATGAGAATTTCCTTGGAAACCCTAGAAAATAAATTGATTAGAAATTTGGAGTTGGTGGAGTTACATGACATTCAGGGATAAATATATGTATATATATGTACAAATATATGTATATATATCTTGTCACCTGAGTATTTTTTGTGACTGTGTGAGGTTAAGGTTTTGTTTCACCGTAAGCATCACTGATACACAAATCCTGCCCTGCCCACTGTTTTGAAACCTCTGCTACCCCACTGAAGAGCTGCATCGCTGGGCAAGCCAGTCTCTGATGCTACACTTCATACATTCGCTGCATAGAATGAAGCACCGAGTGAAGCTTCTGCAGACATTCCCAGCGTGCCTGTTGACTTAACACGGCACTGTTCCTGGTAGTTCTACTTCCACCAGAAAAGATCTGCGATGTCTGCTGAACCTGAGGCTTCTGTGCAGATTTCCTTTGAAGAGA